TCTCGCCCTAAGGCCACTGTGGGCACGCAAACAGCTCCCCTGCCCTTCCCACCACGGATGCTTCATCAAGCAGTGGACACCCTAGATCTAACCTGGGACATGCGAGGGTTAACGGTAGCTACCCAGACTCCTCAAGTTTGGGTGGGAAAGGTGAGGAGAGATCCAGAAGAGGGGGCTGCTGGGGAAGTCAGTCAGGAGAGAGAGAGGGAAGAGAGTGGATGGGAATGGGTCTCCATCCGAGACCCTTGGACCGGCCAGTGGGAATCGGTACGTCTAACTAAAAGAGAGGCAGAGGAAAGGAGGAGGCGAGAAATGTCAGTACGCCCCTCCTATTGGGGAGAAAGAGAGACACGAGAGTGGAGACGCAAGTTAGTGGAAGAGAAGAGGAAGACAGAAAGGGAAAGGGAAGAAAAGAGACAATGGCATATAGAAGAACTCAGGAAACTGGGTGGCTCCCAGGACCCTGGGTTTATACCGAGGGAGAGAACCACATACCCTGGGAATCTGCAGGGTATGGAGAGACAACCCCATTATTGATGAAAGATACAGATGACCTCAAACCCGAAGAACCCTCACAGGTTCAGGCCGGTCCATGGGCGTCGAGGATAAGCAACCCGTTTGTTGAAGATGGTGCAACCCTGAGAGAACCGTTGTTTACTCAGGAGAAGTTTGATCCCAAGTTAATAGACATTTCCATTCCCCTACCCCCGTTAATAAATGAAGACAAAGTGTTTGATTTAAATGAGTCTCCGAGTTTATTTGGTTCGGGGGAGGTGAAGAACAATGAACCCTCACAACAAGACTTAGCTGACTGATTGGATTTCAGACCTTAACACAACACAAAAAATTCATCATGTATGGCAGTGGGTAAACCCAGATGTTCTTCAACTGCAAGTCCCAGTAATCCTGGGCAGCACAGCTAGCGGTGAAGGCTTCTGGGAGTTGCAGTCCAAGAAGACCTGGGTTACCCAAGGCTAAGAACCACTGATTTATGGTAAACAGAAGTTTAGATAAGATCATAGAATAACTAGGGGACAAGAACTTTATTCCTTTGGTCCTTGTGTATAACTTTACAGATAAACAAACAGTTTTCTCAAGTGCAGTCTTCAAATAAGATGTGGGGAAAGAAAGACACTTGACACCTGGTTTCAGTGTCCTGGATTACCTTGGTTGCAACGTATGCAAGAGCGTTAGCTTCTCCAATAATAGCCACAAGGCTGGCGATGTTAATGATGTTCCCTTTCGTCTTCCGGAGATGAGGCAGCGCATACTGTTAGCAGAAAGTTGAGGAGGAAAGGTGATCAAGAGATAATGTGGCAGTCTATTGAGAACCTGTGATCTAGAGACACTACAGCAATGTAGGAAGCTAGCCTGTGTCTCACTGGGCCGCTGTCCCATTTAGCCAATCAATGGAGCCGGTCCTACCCTTAGGCAGACAGTTGCAGCTGTCTCCGGTAAGTGCTTTAGTGGTGTCACAAAAGGAGCAAGAGTGTTAGTCATTAAAATGGGACAGCTGCATTTCTGTTGCTTTTACAGTGGTGCCCCGCTTGACGACGATAATGTGTTCCAGCAAAATCGCTGTACAATGAAATCAAGTGAAAAAAAAAAACCTATTGAATGCTTTGAAAACCAGTCAATGCGTTCCAATGGGGGAAATACCTCATCATCCAGCAAAGATCCTCCATAGGATGGCCATTTTCGATCCCTGTCTTGCGAAGAATCAGTCCAGAAAACAGCAGGGAGCCATTTTGCAAATCGCCAATCAGCTGTTTTTAATTGTCATCAAGCGAAAAAAGTTCCCAGGGACCAAATCGTCGTTAAACGAAAATCGCCCCTTGGAACCATCATTTTCCGATCGCTATAGCGATCGCAAAAAGACATCGTAACGCGATTTTGTCGTCAAGCGGGGTCATCGTCAAGTGGGGCACCACTCTACTGTGTTTTTGGTACTTATCTAGTAGCTTTTAACATTATATTTATTTAATTCTCTTGAAATATTATAATAATTTATTGTTCTCAGCTTCCAATACTGTTTATTTTTTAACACTTTCAGCCACTTTGTGTGGTTTACAGAGAAAGGCACGGTACAAATATTTGAAACAAACACATAAACAAAGCAGTTATTTACTTGTTTATTCCTAAATTCCTCTTATAGGGGAAGGGATATAAGGCAGGTGCTTGTGGGAATTTCTTCTGAAACAATTGGGCCCACTACTCTACACCTTGGTGAGTCAAGGCACCATCTGCTTCTTTGCCTCAATCAGCAAAATATCTTGGCTCAGTATTTCTTCTCTAAAATGGCAGTGCTTCAGCATGGCCATTTCGAGCCCTTCCTCCTTATCCTAGATAAAGTCAACAAATCAACCCTGGGATTAAGTTTTTCCTCATATTTAACTGAAATCTGGCTCCCTATAACCTGAGCCCATTACAATATTACGAGTGCTGCTGTCCGGAATGACACGGAACAAATCCTGCTTCTCCTTTGTATGACAATCTTTAAAGTATTTGAGGACTACTATCATATTTCTCATTGGTCTTCTTTTAGCAAGGCTAACATGCCCAGTTTTTCCATTCTTTTCTCATAGGTCTTGAACTTCTTCCAGTTTGCTTGTAAGCTTCTTGAAATGCAGGATCCAGAATTGGAGGCAATAAAGATGTGGCCTAGCCATGGGATTTGGGGACTATACTTCTGTTAATGCAGGATTTGCCTTTTCCGCAATCGCATCACATTGTTGGCTCATATTCAGCTTGTGAACTACAATTCCAAGATCCTTCTCTCATGTAGTATAGCTGAGCCAAGTATTTCTGAACGTATAATTGTGCATTTGTTTTTTCCTTCCTTTGTGTCAAACTTTGAACTTATCCCTGTTGCATTCATGCTACAGCCTATCAAGAATATTCTTTAAAGAATCCTTGTCTTTTTGGGTATTTACTAGTCGACCCAATTTTGTGTCACCCGCCAATCTGATTAGCATTCTGTGCACCTCCTTATCCAGGCCATTAGTAAAAATCTGAAAGAGAACTGGGCCCAGTTGTGGACATTTTCTGTGCAGGCCCTTACTGTACTTAGGTGATCCCTAGGCCTGCACAGCCTTGAAGAATATGTTACAAACACTTGCGTTTTGCCTTCTTCATTCACTGCAAGCAATACAATCTGATCTTAGTAGGGCACACACACAGGCTGAAGTCAGCCCAGCTCAACCTCACTGTCCCCATCCTGATACCCTCCAGCTATGTTGGACTAAAACTCCCACCATCTCCAGCCTGTTGGGAGATGACAGTGCTGTACTTGTCTCCTCACCTATCTCTGAAGGGATTCAAGTTGAGGAAGGCTGGTGTAGAGGAGCCAATGTTCTGACATCTGGCTGCAGAGCCAGAGGTTGGGAGCTTGATTCACCACGGTGCCACTTACGTAGAAAAGGGGCTGTACTTGGTGATCCATAGGGTCCCGTCCAGTTCTGCAGTTCTACAATGTTCATGATGATGATTGAAATCACTGACCTTTGCTGCCAAGAAATAGCCAACAACATTGATGTCCAACAGACAGCGGAAATCTTGTGCAGACACATCATCTATTTCTTGGTAAGCAGGATCTATTGGCAAGAATAAATACAAATGCAAGGTTTTTTTCCCCATGAAGGTAAGATGAAAATTAGGCAATATTCTTGCATATCTGCTAGTGAATCTTGCTTTTTCCTTTTTAAATTAGTGAATCTTTTCCATTAACTTACCAGACAACACACATATACAACAGATCAATGTACGTATCAGACAAACTGAATACATAAAACAGTCAACTCTATGGGTCTCCTCTCTGTTTCTCTCTTCTGCCAGTATAACTTACCATGATTCTGGCAGGGGGTTCTGGGAATTGTAGTCCCAAAAATGTTAATTACCAACCTCTGATCTCAATGCTTCATTTCTTCCAGGGTTCTTAGGCCTGCCCTTCAAGGAACCTCCCACATCCCACAACCAACAAACAGGAACCCAAAATCTCCCCAGATCCAAATCATTTTTAAAATGACTTACGAAATCCAGCATTGTTCACAAGACAATCAAGGCATCCATACAGGTTTATGGTCACGGAAATCAGATTCTGTGGAGGGGAACAAGTTACAAAAATAGAGAGAGTGGGGGTACTGAAAACAAGAGAACAACATTTCCTAGAATTTTAGAGTTGCAAAAGGGAACACCTTCCCTCCAACCTAGTAGCTCCCAAATACACTGGAATACAACTCCCATTATCCCCAGCAAGAACAAATTTGTGCCATGGACCAGAGGTGACGAGGGTTGTAGCTCAACCCATCTGGAAAGCATCTGGACTACTAGGAGAACCAGGCCATTCCAGATGTGGGATCATTTACACAACTGCAATGCCCAGAGAACAAAGGTGGATTTTAAGAATGGGATCAGCAAGCAAAAAGCTGATGCCAAGAAGCCTCCCGCACCCCAACAGTCCTGCTCTTCCCACATTTCCAGCTTACCTTAATATCTGTTTCACTGGTAACATCACAGACCACAAAATGAGCTTCTCCAGGGCACCCAGACTCTTCCAGTTCCCTCTGAAGGGCTTCCCCCCTTTCCCCTACAAAGGCATACAACAGAGCAGTTGCAAACAGAGTTAGTGCAGAGTTCAAGGAAGAGCAGACATGGGTGATAGTTGGGGGGGGGACATCAAGGAAGAGGTTTTCTTTGCTTCTCCCCTCCCTTTAGTGGGCCAACCTCTCTCTCACTTCACCCCCTTGGGCCTGACAGCTTCCACTCATATCCTGGGTCTCATTTATCCCATTTGAGGGAGCACACATGGCTAGGGAGAGATACCACAGTCCCTCTTTTGGCTTGCCACTGCCAGTAAATTGAGGAAGGGCAGATTAACAAATAGAAAGTGCAGGGAAGTCAGCAGGCATCCAAGGTTGACGAGGGTGTGGGACAAAGCAGGCACCCAACAAATGGCCACTCTTGGTGACAGCCCTGCAGAAGGGAAGTACAATGAGCCACTTCCAAATGATTTGTCCATCTGTCTCGTTTGCCACATTCGTCTCTTTCCCCTCGTTCCCAGGCTGCCGCCCATAAAGTGTCAAGCCACTGTGGGTTTTTCCCCATATAAGATTATACTGTCAGTCATTATGAAATCATACTGTTGAGCAACAGAGGAAGCCCTACATACAAGACACTCCCACACTCACCTAACCAGTGGTGGCGGAGACTGCCATAGATTGATTTTGGTATAGATAAAGTACGAAATCATTAAGGATATAAGAACTGTAACCCTGGAATGTGAAATGCAATTACAATAGGACCACTGTATCTGTGCGGTCGGTATCCATGGTTTCATACTCTGCCTGAAAATATTAAATAAGCAATCCCAAAAATATATGGTTCCAAGGTGTATTACCAGAACAGACCACTAGAGGAAACCACAGACTGTGCTATATCCTTAGGGTTTGCTATTTTCTGTGGGATATGGTAGGTCTTGAAACATACAGTGGGGTCTTGACTTAAGAACGGCTTGAGTTAAGAACATTTTGACTTAAGAACCGCTCTCATAAGAAAATATTGACTTGACTTAAGTACTTAGATTTGAGTTAAGAACTGAAAAAAACCCATGTGGGAGGCAGGGAAAGTGCAAAATGTGAATTTTCAGTTGACTGTTGGCCAGTGAAAAGGGTGCCTGTCTGCTTCCTCACTCCTCCCAGCGTTTAGAGAGTGCATTGGGAGACAGTCTTCGGACTGCCTGGTACTGTACTGCCTGGACTGTATTTTCCCTGCCTTCCCTGAACCTTTCTTGATCTAAGAAAAAAAGAAACAAAATATCCCCCCTCTAGTGGTCGAAGGCAGAATTGCAGCTTCCCATTAGTTTCTATGGACGGAAAAGAGCAGATACGGATCAAATGGTTTTCAATGCATTCCTATGGGAAATGCAGATTTGACCTGAGAACGCCACAGACTGTGCTATATACGTAGGGTTTGCTATTTTCTGTGGCATCTATGGTAGGTCTTGGAACATATCCCCACAGATACAGCAGTCCTACTGTATACCACTGAAATTTGAACAGTAATGAAGTGCCAGGTAGAGGTTACTTCAGGACAAACAGATATAATCTTGGAAATAGAAAAGAAAAAAGAAAAGAGACAAGCAACAGTTCAAATAGCAATATACTGAATGTTCATTAGAGGCCATTCTTCAGTTTAAAAAAAAGAATTGTATTAAATACCATATATTTTTCTAACTAAATAGAGACCCATTGTTTCTCTATAGGGTTTGAAAGAGCAATATTAAAAGAATGAGAGCCTCTATACACACACCCAATGAGATTCTGCCTTTACTAGCTTAGGGCAAAACACAGATAAGGGTAAATACAGATGTAGGAGAGGTGATACTTTTATTTAGACCACTAAACTCTACTAGCTTAGGGCAAAACACAGATAAGAGCAAATACAGATGTAGGTGAGGTGATACTTTTATTTAGACCACTAAAAATCCAACATTCCATGCAAGCTTTTGTGAATAAAAATTCACTTTCGCAGTCATAGGGTAGAAAAATGATGAATGAATGTCCCAAAGGGTCATGGCAGAGTTCCCTTGAGAATGTTGCTGAGATGAGTTGGTTTTAACCAGTTTGGAAGGGATGTTTTTAAATGATTCACTCCTGCTGCCATTTGGTTGGAATTTTCTGCCAATCAGGAAACCTGATTTCCACACAGGCAATATGAGTGGAGGGGAAGGAGACTCATTCATGAAGTATCTCCTAGCTTGGAGGCTGAGTGAAAAATGTAAGACCACCAGGTTGGCAGTAATGGGGTGGTACTGTAAAACAACTGAGGGTCACACCATTGGGGAAGCATAAAGAAGAAAATGACCATTCTCAAGGTTCCCATCTGAACACACAACCGATGGTAGAATCAATATTTTGGCCAAACTATATCAGTATGGGGAGAGACTTCCAGACCCTATTCAGTGCACAAAAATCAATCATTTCCATTCCATTCAATGTTACATTTCCACTCCAAGTAAATATACAAAAATTTACACAGCTAAACAGTTTCATCTAGCGTCAGGACTAATAATAGGCTGGAGCAAATTCATTTCATAAAAATTAATTAATCAATTCAAAACCATTCAGCTTTACATCATTCTCCCTTTCCGTTACTCTCATCTAGAGGAAACTTTCCTAGCCAAGTAAATACAGTACATTGAAATCCACAGCTAAACAGTTCCATCTAGTGTCAGGACTCCGAACTGATAATTTTTGTTGTTCAGTCGTTAAGTTGCGTCCGACTCTTCGTGACCCCACGGATCACAGCACGCCAGGCCCTCCTGTCTCCCACTGCCTCCCGGACTTTGGTCAAAGAACTGATAACAGATGAGAGCAAATAGAAAAGAAAAGATTTACATGCAAAGTAAAGACAATCTCCAGGAGAATGCTGAGAGTGAGAAGCCAATGTCACTTAAATTAGGGCGCTAGCATTGCTTTGAAATCAATGGGCATTCTGGGAAGTGGGCTGCTACTGAATTCTGGGAAAGGGTTTTTCTGGTCATTTCAGAGGTGTACAGAAGACAGAAACTCATCAGGTGAGTTTTCTGCATCACGGCATCTTTCGGATAAGCTATACCTGTCAAATTGTAGGCCACTTTTAGAACAAACAAACAAAACGCATATGCCCCTGCTTTCCTCCGGCTATACCAAGAAAGGTAAACCTGTCATCCTCGTGAACTTCCAGTTCCCACCAACACAACCAATGGTCCAGGATGGCAGAGACGGTAGTTCCTAAGATCTAAGGTAACACATTTACCTTTCTGGACCTACACCTATCCTGTTCACTGTTCTTCAATGTTTTCTTGCTTCCTGGATATCAAAGTCTCAAATTATCTTCAGCTCAAGCTTATTTGGAACAAAAACAAAACGAGAAGGTGGGAGAAAGGGGAGAAAATGTTTCAGACTTACGTTCACATTCGGGTGCACAGAAGACCACTTTGGCTCCTTCGTGAACTGGGAAAGAAAGTTGACGTTGGAAGGAGAAAGTGAGTGCAAGACAGAGGCCAGAGGTTCAGATCACATACTGGCATTACAGCAAATAAGACAATCAGTCCCTCTCACCCAGACAGGTACCTCAGGTACTGGCCAGCAATTTCTATACTGAGAGGGAATGATGGGGTGCGTAGTCTGGCAACATCTAGAGGACCACACATTCCCCCACCCAGGTCCTTGGGGGCAACTAGCAACACAGCTCTCAAACGTCTAAGACAGCATCTTCTCTTGCCACTAGTTTTAGATGCTCGGGTGGATTTTGAAAGCTTTTGCACTCAAATGAGATGCTCTGTTGCTGTGCTATTGGACTTGATGACAGTACACTTAATGGCCGGTGGCTAAATGCATGAGAGGACTCCGGTAAATAGCATTGGCTAAAACTCGATCGCTTTGTTATGCAAAAGGCATAACAGTTATTTGTTCCTAGTCAACAATTAAAGAATTCCTGCTAGTATTCTTCAGGATATGCCAAGCCAGCAGGTGTGTGCCCCTGAGAATGCCACAAGCTGTCTTGTAAATTGATAGTTAGAAACAAGTAATGTTATGCTGTTTGTTTTCTACATGTGTAGAAATCAATAGGATTTCAACCATTGTGTTTCAAAGGATGGTAAGTAAGAAGACAATTCCACTCACATATGCAGGGCAATATCATTTGATGCATGTTGGAAGCACGTTCGGGCTACAAGGAACATCACAAGTTTCTCTCTTACCTTTTCCCTTAAACCTATTTGCAATCCAGCCCCCCTTTCTTTCCATTTTCAGGAAGGGAACACTTTTTATAACTCACCCCACACATACACACACACACACCATTTTTAATTTTTTATGGGCTAGAGTAGAGTATTTGCTTCCTGGTAAAGATTAGATGAGACTAAACTAAACTTGCTGGATAGCTCAGGGGTTTAGGTCTCTGGCTGTGGCACCAGAGTTTGAGAGTTCAATTCCCCCACTGTGCCTCCTTGGGAGGGGCTGGACTGGATGATTCATAGGGTCCCTTTCCAGCTCTGCAGTTCTAAGATGATGATGATAAATCAATCGCCATCCTGTTTAAGCACAACATTTTAAATCCAGGCCAGACCGAGTAAGTTGGAAAAGGAAGAGACTGCCAACAGGCAAATTACTAACGGAAATATACACCCATCCATGATCATACAATGAGCAGAGGTCGGAAAACATCCTGCTGTTGCCAATTTGGTGGAGGTGGTGGGAATCCTCATCAGTCTCTTGCAGGAAAAAAAAAATCTCTGAGTTGACAGAATTGAGGGAACAAGCACGAGGAGAGATGCAACAGGAATTTCCAGTTCCTTGGGGGTCTGCTCCACCACATCCATGAAAATTGTTTTGTCAG